AACACTTCTATGAAATGAAGGACGTATGAATGAGCTCCATAGAAATTTTGTAATTAACTTGCGTTAAATAATCTAAAGATCATTCGTAGGGAAGGGAGGGGGGTCCTTTGGATTTAAATCCCTCAATATTCTTATAAATAATTTATATTTCAAAGGAATACCCTACAAAAATCATTAGGAGCTTACAAATATAGAAAGTGAAAACCACGGCCCAAATATGGCAAAGGATCGCCATAAGACTAAAATTAATAGGGACGGCATGCACCCGGTGTACTCTCTCTCTCTCTCATGTCACCCCTCGTCACCCCACCACCACCACCGAGCTGAGGCACTGACACATCAAATAAAACAACAAAATGAGACACGGTGAACGCACCGTTGGCGCCGACCCACACCAACACCTAGAGTACTAGCGTAACACCACATGCATGCATTCTAACACTTTTACAAATAGTAACATGCCTATGGGCTATGTCAACTAGCGATAGATGGTCAGAAAGGCACGAGATCTGTAGCTGGTCATGCACGCGTGTATGGCTTAATTACTTAACCGTACTCCTACTGCTCTACAAAAAAATAAGTAGCTGTATTATAACTGTGTTAAATTAATTGGTACACTGAGGTTAGTGCGTGTGCGTCAAGACCATGTACTCCCTCCATTCTTAAATATAAATCTTTGTAGAGATTTTACTATGGACTGCATACGGAGCAAAATGAATGAATCTACATTGTAAAATTCATCTATATACATCCGTATATAGTTCATAGTGAAATATCTACAAAGACTTGTATTTAGGAACGGAGGGAGTACATGCGTTTGCCATCTCTTTGCTAGCTATTCGACCAGGAAGGGGACAGGGCATTCATGCAAGTCGCCATCTCACCTTATGTGGCGGATCAAATCCAGCTAGCCTTTTCTTCTACCTTTGGCAAAGCTGGACACCCCAACTATCGATCCCAAAGTGACATTTCTTTCGTACACTGACCTAAATGAAAAAGGATAACCAGATCTAAGGAAACATTTGGTGCTAATTAAGATACCTTCCAAACATCTCCATCTGTCTAGCATAGACAAGACAGGTATATGTCTGCGAAGACAAAGCATATTCACCCCGACATGCATGTACACCCACATACACACGCATATGAACAGACATTGCACACATTTGCATTGATTGCCATGGTTACGACCGATCCAAGAGGGAGCCAGAGAGCAAAAGCATCCAGCTGCCAAGGGGAAGTGGGGTTGATGAGTAGTAAAAGACCAGTGGGGCGGGCTAGTAGCTGGGGTTGGGCCTTTGGAGGAGGTGAGACCACGGGCCCCAGGATTAAAGCGGCCCTGCATAGCCCTGTAGCTAGCTAGGGTTTTGCATGCATGGAGATCGATGGAGGCAGCAGATGTACCATCCATATCTTTTGCCATGGACCAATATATACCCTCTCACATGAATGGTCCCCTTGACGATACAGAGAGGTGTAGTGCATGCTGTCGCCCGTTCTCATTATTCTAAGCTAAGCCACGCTATGATTCCTTTTCTCAGTCCGTATCTTGTTCTATATCTATCTTTCCCATAAGTTAACTTGGAGTAGCAACAAGTAGTAGTATGTATATGCAGTTAGGCTGGCTGTTCATGCTGCGAAAGTTGTTCCTATGCAAGTCAGTTCCATCGACAGATCCATGATTTGTAGCTTGC